AAAGAGGTGTTCCAAAGCTGCTACTTAACCTACTTTTAGGATCAGAATTCAAATTCTCGATTTCTTGAATGAGGTTTTCTTTCCCTTCTATTTCATTGCCCTATACTGAACACAAGTAAAAAAGAAAACGAAACATTTAGATTGGAAAAACTGGTGAAAAACGACACTACGAAGTCACAAATTTCCTGGTTAATAGCAAAAACTTATGTAACAACTAGCTGGAACTTTTGAATGAAATCGGTGAAGAAGAAGCTTCGTTTATATATCTCTTCGTTTACCCAATGCGACTGTATGGAGTAAAGACTTCAATCCTTTGCTTACTTACTTGATACCTGAATGGCTCGTCCTCACTGATTGTGTGGGCCCCAGTATAATCACCACTTTTCGGAGATTTGCTGGTTAAGCCATTGTGGTCCCTGGAATCCTGAGGAAAGCCTGGTCAAAGTCTGCCCCGCGACAGGCAGTCGCAACCCTTGTGGATCAGAAGGAGATTTACCACCATGCGACTTTGATACCAAGACGGTGGTGGAACCCAGTATTGGTTTGCTCTTAGCTAGACTTCCTGCTTCCCGGCGCTTCAACGCCGGACTCTTTCACAGCTTGGGAGACCCTGCCGGGTGGACGAACCCCCCGGCTGTACATCGCAGTCCGACACCCAGGAACACCTCACAGCCACGATAAGGCGGCAAACCGTTGGGAGGCAATCCTTTACATTCCTTTTAAATAATAATTACAGTATGGTAAAATCGGAAACACTACTCCATTCACGTCATGCTGCCCTGCTCCAGTTCCAGTCCATGGAGAAGTCAGTGCTCAGTTGATGAACTACAGATATGAAGCATTCGTCGATGGAACGTGCTTGATCATAGATTTTTTCAAATGTGAGTGATTCCACTTTACACTGCACTTCAAAGCCATCTATATGTTTTTTTTAACAAATTCATGACCACTTCTAACTTTGCATTTCACTATGCAGCATAATGCCCTCAATAAAAAATGTATCTTACTATATGTATGCCTTATACTTTTTCAATGAAGACGTCTTCAAAGGCTCCTTTTCAACAACAGCCTTTGTGTTATTCCGTTGTTGCAAAAGGCTCCGTATCGCTACAGAGCTCATGGAGACAGACTCTTCCCAGGAGCTTTTTTTAGATTTTGATATGCGTAGAATAGCCCTTCTCAGATAAAGCGTGCTATGCAACATCTGTATTAAAGAAACTCTCAATTTAATACGAAATTCAGTAAGGATAGTGCTAGATGTGTAGGTTATGCCATGCATAGTCTTGTAAATTTATTGAAGCTACAGCAGTCCTCAAACTCTTGTGATTGGACCTTTATACGTGTATTATATTCAGTAATACACAGAAGAATGATGATTAACACTGATAGAAACAGAGGAACTTCAGCAATGGACTGACCAAATGGAATGAAGCAAGGATGACACATCATTCAAACATTGCTGAACTAGGAATAGCTGGAGGGACATGGAAGCGTAATAGGGTGTGGGAGAAAAAGCGTCTCTAAGTGGTTAGTATTCCTTTGATGAATGGGCCATGTGCATTTATGGCTAAATGAACAGACCTAACATGTTACAAAATCGATTGCGCCTAATGCGGATATGGATTGCTGGAAACAAAAAGTGGCTAAGGACATGCCATCAATCAATGATAGAGATGATCTTGAGCAAACAAAGTAGCGTAAGTGAAGCCAATTAATAATACAGTAAAGATGGCCCTTGCCAACAGAATAGTACAACGTCTACGTAAGGTTGGTTGTATGAATTTATGAAAAGGTAGAGAATATTCGCTACACCATGCAGAATGTTCTTTACCCAGAAGTCATGATTTGAGAAAGCATATGTGGAAGGACAAAAAGCCGGAAGTTTTAAAATGCACTCAAATCGATGCATGTTATGGAAATGTGTCGCAGATCTTCCAGAAAAACTGAGCTTACTGATAGATAGCTTAGTAATAGACACGATTACCAGTTATTCATCCATTTTCCATTTCTGCTAATAAGTTTTATACGTGAAAGTTAATGGTTGTCTTCGAATCATTGTGAGGTGTTGAACACCTTTACTAACTGGTTCCTAAATTCTGGTGGAACCTCATTGAGGAGGTCGTCGTTCCGATGCAGCATGTCATCCACCGCCGTTCTAAATCAATTCACTCTAGTTGCTTTACCTTTGTCTCCACATTCATTGAATTTTTTTTTGAATGATAGTTATAATAAGTGACGGAATCGTTTATTCAACATCTTGAAAAGGTCGACTTTCGGCAAACATGGTGTTAAACATTTGCTCTGCCATTTTTAATCACTAGAAAGCTTCAGAATTGTCGTATGAAGGAATTACTCTTAAATCACAATGTAGTACTTTTTCATTTACTGCTTATTTCTTTTTAACAGCAGGATATCATGTGAAATATAATCGTGATGAAGCCGAGATATTTGCAAAACTCCGAGCCGCTGGTGTCTTCGGTGGGGACCAAACGCGCTGTTAGCCTTTCCGGTGGTTAACGCATTCACCGTCACACCATGCAGGTCCTTCTTTTCGCCCCTATCTCAGCCTTGTTACTGACTTATAGATGTTATCAGCAATCACCCGTCAACGGGGTTGATCCGAGGAGCACATGTCGGCATTGAGTCCAGTTAAGCTGAAGCTGTGATATGAATCACAATATAGTACTTTTTATTTTCTGCATATTCTTTTTTTTAGTTTTATATTAATCTCTGAAACTAGTCTAAGTTTTGACAGAAAGTGGTTCAAATGTGAGGGAACAATTAACAACTCGGATTGTCGGATATAAAGTGGCGAGGTGTTGCTAATTGTTTTTCAGAGCTGACTCGAATATTCAACTACTTCAAGAGTACCCGGTAAGGAGCCTTTCACGTCTACTTGTTATCTCTCGTTTCCTTTACAGTCAGTTGTTGAAGTAAATCTACTTTCTGCATCCAATGGTAGTAGAAGTGAAGTGTACAATTCTACCTCCTACACAGTCTGGGAAAGAGTCCGACACCTGCACTCGGAAGCTTAGTTATAAGCAAACCGAAACAAAAAATCGTCATTGTCCTGGAGGAAAAACGCACTCACAAGGTTACGAACTTTCTTCCGATGCACAATGGAAGCTGCTGACTGCTTGTAGTGACGACGTGGATATCCTGGGAGGCGTTTCTTGGAAGTCTGGGGATTAATATTGGCATGGTAGTAAGATGACAGTGAAGTGGAAAACTTACTAAGTCCATATTGCTTTGGAATTCCGACTCCTCGTGAATGACCAGTGGAAGCGTCAATATTATATCTTCTTATTTTCTATTTTTCATTTAAAAATATTCGTAATAAAATAGTTGCGAATTCAATGTTTTTCATCAATAAGCAGACACGAGGTTGTTAATACAGAATTTATTAGAACACAATTGCTGACGTTTCGGCGGTTTCGTTTTCTTCAGAGCCTGGAAAGGTCAAATTGAGATGTGATCTACTCAGCCAAACACTTTCATAACCCCAGCAGATAAACTTGACAAATCGATTTGCATTCGCATAAGAAACAGCTTCATTCAAACACCTACCGTTTATTTGTTGTTGAGGAGATGGACAAATGCTTTAAGTTATTGAATGAACAGTCAGAGTACATAAAATTCACCCATGAGAAACCGAAAGAAAACTGGCTTCCATTTCTAAACCTTCAAATTAACCTATCCGAAAACGGCTACAACACAAAATGGTATCGAAAGCCAAGCAGTAAGAATATAGTGGTTCACTACCGCTCCTCTCACCCCTCACACACTAAAAGAGCGCTTATAAGAAATATGTTTCGAACCGCCGCCAGCGTGTGCACACGTAGAGGGCAGAGGGAAGAATCCTCGAAACTGGCGCGGCAAATAGCCATTTCAAATGGTTACGAAACTGTAGCTTCTCAGGATAGGCATCGAGGAAATCCCACGCCCCAGAGCGATAATTCTAGCGAAAACAAGGCTCCGTTCCTGTTGCCCTTTATTTCAAACGAAATAAGTGCAGCTATAAAACGCTGCTTAACAAGGGCCGGTCTAGAGAACTCCGTAAGAGTGATAGAAATACCACCGGACACTCTAAGACGCCAGCTAGTTCGCAACCGCCTGTACGACCGTCTATGTACAACAAAAAACTGCATAATTTGCCCAAATGGTAGAGACGGTGATTGCATGAGTTCGGGTACAGTCTATCTGATCTCTTGTAAAGCGTGCGGGCACGAATATGTTGGCGAAACGGGTAGACCGCTCTGCGTCCGCATAAAAGAACGCCTACTCGGTAAATCTAAACTAAAACAAAATACTCCACTAGGCGCGCATAGGATGCAGGAACACAACTGAGAAGATTTTGAGGTAGGAGTCACTATCCTTACGCAGGAATCGAAAACATCAGCGCGTAAAACTCTTGAAGCGTTTTGGATCAATGCCAAAAATTCAAAAATGAACCGCAAGGAGGAGTGTCTTGTCATCACGCGTGACCTGGCGCCATACCTCAGGCTGATCCAATGACCTGACATGGACACAGTTATCGACCATGTATTACTCTGTGCGGCGGCTATCCACCAACTAACTTAAATACTTACAACAAATAAACGATAGGTGTTTGAATGAAGCTGTTTCTTATGCGAATGCAAATCGAATTGTCAAGTTTTATCTGCTAGGGTTGTGAAAGTGTTTGGCTGAGTAGATCACATCTCAATTTGACCTTTCCAGGCTCTGAAGAAGGCGAAACCGCCGAAACGTCAGCAATTGTGTTCTAACAAATTCTATATTAACAACCTCGTGTCTGCTTATTGATGATAAACATTGAATAGTTGCGAATTATTCGGTCGTTTGCAGGAAACATGGTTGTCACCTTTTGACTAAGTGTGGAACAAGAAGAATACAAATTGATCAGGAAGGTCGCTATATCAAGATGGAATATGATACCTATGTTATTCTTCATCGTTATTTTTCACATGCATCTTTTTCCTTACTTCTTTCTCATACTTTAATTACTCACTTCGTGATGGTGTCACCGAGCACATTACAATCTGGTCGTAATGCCAACAGAAGCCAACCCGCGCTGGCACAGACCGCTCTTGTTGCGCTACAGATGCGCCAATATAATAGAGATTCTGGGGTAAGTGCGACATTTTCCTGAATTGGAAATTTAATAGAAAACAATGGATGGAATAAGTGGAAACTGCTGATGCGTTTTGTCTAGTCAAAATTTTGGATTTAGTGACTTTGTGTCGAACAAATGATGAAGGGCATCGAGTGTTCACGAGTTCTTTGCATCGGCATTACGATTAGAAAAGCAAATCTGCAGATCCCAGCACTTCTCACATTATATTCCTGTCCTCGCACTTAGCAGCTGCGTAAATCTGTGAACGTGTTGCGCGTGGGTTCGGCTGTTACTTGAGGGTTGTCGCCTTCTTTGTCAATGTCGTTAAATACTTGTATAACCTATCCTCACCGAAGCGCTGGAATAGTTATGCTAGGGCGTTGTCACATGGATTAGAGGAGTAAGTTAATCTCAGAGAAGTCCGGTAACAATTCCGCGACCTCGGAAAGATGAGAGGCTAGGTCACTACGTGTGGAATTGAAACAGTATCGTGCTATCATTACTGCCACTGCCCTACACCTTTATATATATATATATATATATATATATATACATATATAACTGGTGAAAAAAGGAAATCGACTGCACCAGCATTCAACGACATTCTTAACGAAGACGAGAACATGCTCCATGACCAAATGCAGTTATGTGAAAAAATTCGAAGGCCATCATGGATGGTGGACATGAGGCGACAAATCCAATGAAAACAGTTTTTGGATCCGCACAGTGTGGTATATAGTGATGTAGTAGATAGATAATAAATAATTATAATATCCACTTTATCTTAAATCTATACTTCTGGCTTCCAGTTCCTCCTGGGTCAGATAAACACCTAATGATCTTGGCGTTTGGTGAGCCATCGAAATGAGGACTAGACCTTTTGTAAAAAAAAGTGGTGATCTAGCAAAAAATTGAGGCGTAAAAAATAAGGAATAAGTAGTAGAAAAAGATAACGACAACGAGAAACTGACATTTATAGGTGCAATGGTTTCGTCGAATCGAATGCAAGCCGAGGTGGCTAGGATGCCGATGGACCAGAGGACTATACCGATGAGCCCACTGTGGAACAATGTTTTTTTGAAATCAGCAATGCTCCATCCATAAAATCCCAAACTGCAATTTTATGTATGCTACTTAAATATGGGGTGAGTTGCTATAATGTACTTCAGTACCTGTCGATGGCGGCTACGCAGCCAATGGTGAAGCATATGAGGAAGACGACGTGAATCGGCAGACTAATCCAGCGGTAAGAGTATAACAAGGACTCCTGAATATCTTCTCCCGAATTTGTGTTCTGATTTAGGAAACGGTACAAGACTCGATTTTGACAAACATTCGTTCATCAGTGACAAATAAACAGTTTTTAACGTTTTGTTTTCTGCCTTCTATAATTTTCATGGCAGGCAATTTTCATGGCTCCCGATAAACTTCTATGATTATACCTTTTTATTTTCTGCTTACTATAATTTCGCGACAGGGTACTAAGCGAAATACAACCACAACGTTGCTGAGATATTTGCAAAACTCTGGACCGCAGGTGTCTATGGTGGGGAACGAACCCGCTATTGTCCTTTCCGGGGAGTAACGCGTTCACCACCACACCATGCAGGTCATAAACAGTTTTTTTTTTGTGAAAAAACAGGACAACTGAGAAATGGCCGTGCCAGGCTAGATTTTGCATCTGTTATTTTCTGAACTAATGGAGTCAGATCGTGTGCACATAAACAAACCAGAATGGTGAAGTGGAGTTAAACTGTGAATGAGACAATGTGTATTCTTTCTTTGATGAGCTTACACTAAGTTGATAAATATATTCATTTTTGGCTAACGTTTTGACGTCTTCGTCCTTCGTCTTCATCAGAGCTGACGATCCGAGTCGATGGCCCACGCTTGTTATTCGTGTCGATGTGGCGGCTTTGCCTTCGTGTCAAGTCAGGTCTTCCTCAACAGGCCATCTCGTCGAACGAGACGTACTCACTAGCTGATGCCCGTTTATGCAGGATGCTGATAGTGAATATAATGATTGCCAGGTGAAAACAATTTGTTTTTCTTCCGGACAATCCATCCTGCAGAAGTCGGTGTTATTATCAGCTAGTACAAAGCGTAGTAATATTTCGAAACCGACTTTCCTTTAAGGGCGTCACTCTATTTGAGCTTTCTGAGCGTCTACACCGTGATTCGAACTTTACTCCTCATTTATCCCCTGGTTTCCAGAACCTTCGAAATCCTACTTTAGACATGTCTTACCTCATTGGCGAAATTGAATGCGAAAACGGCTTCGGAAACTGTGAATCCTGACAGAAATCCTAAAAATTTGAACCGCAACATTTGCAACCAAAGCAGAAGAATCAGAAACGATATTGAAAGGCGACGGAAGATACATTATGTTCACATTTGTAAGAATTTCTGAGTGAAGAAGTGTTATGTAAAGGAGTTTCGGAATACCGAAAAGCGATTATGTGTTGACTTCTGTTCACTGCTTATTCTTTTTTTTATGAAGCTAAAGGGTAAAGCTCTCAGCGCTGATCAATCTCCGAGGTAAACGCCGTGCATTCGATTTCATTAATCATGGTGCGAGGTGGTTGAAGGCATATGTGGCCTATATAATGGTGACCACGGTATGACCATATAACGAAATATAATGGTGAATATAATATAATAATAATGGTGACTTATATAATGGTGACCATATATGTGGTCACGGTGACCTGCCGATATATCCAGTCAGTGCTGCTGTCCTCTCAGACAGGTTTGGTACCAACTTGCCGACTCTCCAGTGATGGAATGATTGGTGAGACTGGGGTATGGGGTCGAATATGTGTATTGTTGGTTGCCTGTAACCATTCCGCTACACGCACCCCTTCTTTTTTCACAGAAGCTTACGATGAGAAATTCAACCACAAATATGACGAGATATGAGCGAAACTCGGAACTTCAGTTGATCTTCGAGGCTGTGATTACCCTTTTAGGGGATCACGTGTTATCCACCACATCAACCGAGACGTTTGAGAGTTAATCACAGGTTCGATGCTCAATTGAGGTTTCAAGTTTTTCTTATATCTCAGCATTTTTGTGAAAGTATTCTATGTCTGAATTTTCTTGGAGAATCGGTTTCATTCGCTTCATTCTTAACCCTGTAATCACAAAACAATGGCGTTCATGACTGGAGATTGCGAAAAATCATCGAGAAAGAAATGGAAATGCTGACAGATAATTCTGTACTGTCATCTTCCCACCTTTCTTCTCTCTTTTGCTTGATTTCACAGTAATGAAAGTCTGTATCTATTTTTGTAATAACTGTTGCTGTATTTGGTGACATTTATTTACTGAAATTCGAAGGCGAAAGCTCCTTGCGAAGAGTTATCATGCGAAGGGAACCTTATCTTTTTCTATGTGCTTAAGCCTTTTGTGGAAATAAAACACTTTTTGATAATGAAGGATGAGGATCTAGAAAGGCGAAGAAATCATAAAGATCGCCCAACGTTTCTGCTAGAGGTTGGTGTTTTTGTTCTATGTTCATTCAAATCCACATATTTTTGCCTTTCAGAAAATGCTGCAAGTTTCAGTGAAAGGAAAACATACGTGGTCGGACCCATACCCTGAATAATCATGGAGATGTTGTGAAAATTACGTTGGAATGAGATGGCGACGGCGACGTCAGGATGTTTGGACGAGATGAAGTCGACCAACGACGAGAACGTCTCGCTCTGCACTTCATTCCTGCCCATCTCTTGCTGCTGTTCAAACACATTTTTTCTCATCGCTCGGAATTTACCTAAACTTCCAAATTACAGTGACATGCTACAGAGGAACGTACAGTGCTAAATGTGCCTAGGTATTTTGAAAATTAAAGAAGTCGTTGCACTTATAAACAAGGCTGAAAGTCTCTTCGACGATTGCACTCACAATTGCCTAGAAGAACACCTCAGCTCTCTTTCGATTTGCATCGGGTAGAATAGTGTTAACCCAGTCACACACACCTGGATCATTGACATACTAAAGTTATTGTCAATCCTCATTTAACCGCTAGCAACTCTCTCAAATACTTGCTCTCACTGTAAGTGCTCTACGAAGATCACTATTGCCACATTAACTCATTTACTTATCGTTCCGAGACGCTGGAATCTATCGATATCTTTTAATATACTTGTCTGATGTATGAATTATACTGCTCAATACTTCGCCATTCTGCAGAGTCCTCTTCCTCTTGCTGGTGCAACTCCTTCCTCCCTAGAACATTCCTCGCCGTGACCACATTAATGCTCACGCTGTTTGTATGTATGTTAACCTCATCGCACTATTACGCTAAGTTGCACTTATACTACCTCACATATGTCTTCTAATATGTTAAATCCATTGCAATGTTATTATAACCTCGCATGTCCTCCTAATATGTTAACCTCATTTCGATAAACAAAGACTATTACAACTACACAAGTGTCTTCTGCAATATTAAGCCTCTTGTACCGTTACTCGTATATTCTATACGATACTTTTACACCGTATTACTTCACTAGCGCGTCGTAAAGTTGTTCTGTCGCCTCAGGGGTAGCCTGTTGTTCACCATCTTACCCTCGCTTGTTCAACCTGTTATGGCCTCACCGCTTGCATTGTTTTAGCATTGTTATGTCGTTATCATTGCACAATTATAAATGTTGCTATGAATGGATTAGTTGCCCAAGTTTGGGCTTAATCTTTGGAACAGCAAACATCCACGTGGTAAAATATTTTGACGGCGAACATTCTATCTCGAACTGGTGGGTATTCGGTACTGACAACTGACTCGAATTACTGCATTCCATGCAGCTAATTGCTACAGTGCCATCTCCATCCTATGCTCAATTTGTAAATCTGATAAAAATAGTATGTTAAACCCAAATGTGGGAAAAGTGAAGACTAAATGTGCTCACCATTTTTCTCAACATAGACGAAAGAATCGGTCTTTCGCGATGGTTTGAAGACCTTTAAAATCTGCTTTTTCCTTTGATGCGATTGGCTCTAAAGTGGTGGAACCATTTTGTAAACAGGGCGATAGTATATTGTAAAAGAATGAATTAACATTAAATCTTGAGTAAAACGATAAACGTGGTCCTGTTGACTGCTTTAGTATTGCGAGGATTACAGACGCTAGAGCTCAGCTTGTTACATGGATAGAAGCATTTTAGGGTAAAAAACACTAGGCCGCGAATAATTCTTTCCTATAAGGCTCTACAGCCAAGTCCTCATAAATTTTCATTGAGAAAAGTGATATATTCTCCGTTGTAGTTAAAACACTAATAGGAAAAAATTAGATGGAAACTGACTCTTGTTGAAATTGGAAATATTCATCAAAAAGATGACGGTAGTTGCCGAAAATTTCAAATACACTTATTTCTCAAAGTGCACACTTTGAAACCATCTTCACTCACTAATAACATCTCAAATCTCTTTTGCTTCTGAAAGTCTTTTGTTTCTTTTTCGATTTCATCCCCGTTGTCTGGCATATTTCGTCCAGCTGGAGCCCAACCTTGGCGTGACCTGAAATCCGTTAATATACCTGCACGTAACAGAAAGATATTTACCTTCAACGTTGCTAAGAGAACTTCTGATGATTAGGAATAGACATACGTCGAAGCTCTGCTGTACGTGGTCTTTTCCTCCGCGTCTTGTCGCTCTTGTACAACAGGCATGTTTGCAAGACTCTAAAAAATAGTGGTGAGACCGAACTCCACACATTTATATAATTTGCTTAACTCCGATTATTCAAGTACATTGGTAGTCTGTTTAAGCAGCAAAAACAGGAAAATAAAACATTAGCGCATGGAAAAAAGAATTTGTGGGTAGGACTTGCCGATGTAGAGGGCGAAGTTCAAAAATCTTCTATTCCACTCTCCAAAGTTGTGAAAATTGTTCATGAATGTTTGGCTTCAATATACGGCCATTCCCATATTGGGATATTCGTGATTGGGAATTCGGCGACTGCGTTTGCAGCCTCGGCTGAGAGCAAATCAAGGTAAAAAGTATCGGTGAATTTCTCTCCGTTTTACAATAGATGATTTCTGAGACTTAACAGGCCCCTAAGATCTAATTCAAGAACTCAGGAGTAAAAAGTTTTTGCTTAACTTTCGAAATGACAATTTAGTGGAAGATACCCTAGAAAATCCATGTATTCAAGCAAGGAAAATCGAGTCACTAGAAAATGGCCTCCGTTGTGAAGGTATCCTTTCTTCGTCGGGCGAAATGGGATTCTCCTATTTCTGCTGAATAAAGTGAAAAAAAATTAAAATGAAATGAAATAGTATTCTCCTACCTCTGCTGAATGAAACGAAAAAAAATGAAAATGAAATGGAATGGGATTCTGTTAGTTTTGTTGAATATTCTATCATAAACACCGTCAAAAACACTTTACAACTTACCACGGATAATACATATACTCTTCGCCTAGTTGAGTGCTCCACTGTGCATGCATGTTTGGACACTTAAACGTCTAACGCAAAGAGTGATTGTTGAATGCCAACAAGACTCCATATTTAGTGTAAAATAGGAATTCGGTATCATAAAACGTCGGTGGTGGAGGCCTTGTCGTCCTCTTCTCCATTGTCCATCTCGTCGACCTCGTTCGGTCGCTTTCCGCCTTCACTAAGGTGTCATAGAAAGATCATTATCACTAATTGCTACACCAAGCGATGCAGCCGATAAGTGTGAATTAGAAGCGTTCCACTATCAGTTAGAGGAAGCTATCTGCAGTGATAAATTGCATTATAAAATCGTTGTCGGATATTTCAACGTCAAAATAGGATGGGCCAGCGAGAGCGAATACAGGAACGAGAAATGTGGATTAGGAAAAAGAAAAAGGAATGGGAACTGCCTTGCAGGACTCTTGCCTACAGCACACCTCTTCCAGAAAGAATCGTTTTTCCAGAAGAAAGAAAGTCGCCCCTGGGTATCAGAGTCTATTAAACTTAGGCGAAGATCGACCATATTCTCATAAACCGAAGACAGTGCTTTCTTGACAGGTCGGCAACATTATTCTGTACTGGGTCCGACCACTGCCAACGTCAACGGAAGAATCGATGGAGCCGTAAACTGTGAGAGACTTGATGTCATCGACGAAAAAGAAGAAGTATAGCTCTATATAAAGAGAACATCCCGGTCAAAGTCTTATATGAAAGTGGACTGGTAGATTAAGGAAGACCCGACCGAAGACCACGCACTGCTTGTCGAAGGACTTCGAAGTTGTGCCGATTTCGCATTAGTTCTTGGATTAAGTAGACCAGATCGCAAGTCCATTAACACTAAGGAGTTGCTCGAGAAGGGAAGGAAATTGATGTTTGATCACAGTGCAATCTGCTTAACACAGGTCGTAATAAATGTCATTTGCAAAAAAGCGTCGCGATCAGATCAACATCAGTACTGGCAGAAGAAGCTGTTAGAAGCAAAACAAAAAAGAACCAATCTAAAGCAATGCTGTCAGCACTTGCGCCATTATAGTTCTCCCTGTCAGCTCATGATCGAGGATAGGATCACTAAAACCTTCCACCATAATTAACAATGGAAAAGTTCTACACCAACTTTATTCGTTCCACAATCTCTGTATCGCACCTCGAAATCCCCGCTGGGGAAAAACAACCTGGAATTCTTTCCTCTGAACTTCCAGCAGCGATAGAAACGTGAAAAAAATCGCAGCGGGCGGCAGGTCACAGTAATATCCCTTTCCTAGAGCTGGAAGCTACAACGTACATATACTTCTCGCAACCCACATGACATCCTACATTAAAAGGCAAAAAATCCCAGACCATTGCAGTGGATCGCGATAGGTCATTGTGCTCAAGAAAGGTGACCGAAGTGTTCTTCGTAGCTATCGTTCGACTATAGCGCATGTCAAGGATATCGGATGAGTGAAAACCAGATGAGGAAACAGGATTGCGACAGGGATTTTGCTGTCAGAGCACATCCATGCCGTCTCAAAATAATCGTAGAAGTTTGTCGGAAATAAGCAAATGCAATCATATCAGCGCTCGACGACCCAGCAGTGCATCTGTCTCACACAAGGAGCCCATTTGACCCTTATCGAAGCTGCGCCACGAAAATACAGCTTTTCCTTCAATCTCTTGCTATGCCTATAGAATGGGTTCTATAAGGCGAGACCAAATCGTCAAAGCTGTTTACTGCCAAATTGCAGTAGATAATGAAGTCATTCGATTGAGAAGAGAAAGGCATACTTATTGATGGAAGATTCATATCAAACCTTCGTTTTGCCGACGACGTCGCCGCCTTCTCATGAAGTACGAATGAAACAAAAGTAATGATCAATTGGCTTCATGAAGCCGAAAAAAAGATCAGACTACTCATAAATTAGAAGAAGACTTAGTTCATGAAGAACCTATGGTGCGAACACGAACAAATCGAAATGGGTAGTTCTCTGATTACAGGGACCACCTCATACATGTACTTTGGGCGTTCAATGAACATGGATAACAACATGAAGAGGAAATTAAATAGAAGAAGGAGATCGGCATAGACAACAATTGGGCTTTTCAAAGAAGATACCGACTAACTAAAAGGCCTAAAATTTTGAGCCCACCTTTTCTTTCCGCACGTCACTACTGATAAAAGTTTAAATCACAATGCCGTCATTTTTATTTATTGCCTACTCTTTTTTAACGGTAGAGTATTATGTGAAATATGATCACAATGATGCTGAGAAATTTCCAAAGCTCCGGGTTGCTGGTGTCTGTGGTGGGGACCGAACACTCTACTACCCTTTCCGCGGGGTAACGTGTTGTCCATTAAACCATCGAATTTCTCTAATAAGATTTATTTGCAAAAATTCTTATTGGTTCATAAGAAAAGAGAGTTCATATTGGATATAACGTAGCGTCGATACTCAGGCAGTTATCAAGAATTGCCAGTTGTTTACTGATTGCCTTGATCTACTAAGACAAAAAAGGAAAACAGAGAGAGAGAAGATAGAATGAATTGTTAAATACTGGTTGCTGTATCTGATCGAGAAGTGTTTATTTTTTAAGGAATAATATAGTGAAGCAAAAATGCCCAGCGACATTGAGAAGTTCAGGATTCTTTAGGTGTACACTAACCCGCATTTTACTTTATATTTTTGACAGATGTTCCAACACATTTAAGTCGTAAGAGACGGGAGTACCGACCTGCTGATCGTCTTGGGCGATCTGACTCATTGTTAGATGGTGCTGAAGAGAAGAGGCTGCGGTAAGCTGTGAATGCTGACCCAACACGGTTGCTCAGCAACCACAGAGCCCACTACGGCGATGGTCCGCTAATGGCGTCTCACTGGCTGAAGTCGCATCGTCCATGATTGTTCGGCTCCTTTGGAAGTCAATTTCCTTCATCCGCTGATTCACCAAGCAGGAATTTTCCACGGGAACAGTGATGAATAATAAAATAAGAAATCAACAAAAACAAGGAAATAGTGAAATTTTAATCACAATGATGCTGAGATATTTGCAAAACTCGGAACCGAAGGCCAGCTTCGTATTCGCGACTACCTTTTCGGTGAGCTCATGAGTTACCCATTTAATCACCTTGGCTCTTGCTTTGCCCCTTTTTCAGCCAGTTTTTACACTAACGGAGCTGTCAGGAATCACCCGTCAACAGGAATAAGCTAGCGAGCACAAATCGGCATTCAACATAGACCAGGAAAGAGTAATCACGAGTTAGAAACTGGGATGAAGTTCTGAGAGTTGCAAATGTTTCAACATCTATTTATGTGATCTTATAAACTGATCTTCTTAAGCTGACGCGAGGTTGGTACAGATCTTCGTTGTCGTTGTCGTTGTTTTTGATGTTATTGATCGATGGCTGACGTTTCGGCGACTTCGCCTTCCTCAGAGTCCTGCAGTCCCGCACGTAACATCACGGCTCTGAGGAAGACGAAGTCGCCGAAACGTCAGCCATCGATCAATAATATCAAAGACAACGACAACGACAACGAAGATCTGTACCAACCTCGCGTTAGCTTAAGAAAATCAGTTTATAAGATCACATAGATAAATATATCAACTATCCATGCCGGGGTTTATAGAAAGTCGGTCTTTCGAGTGTTTCAACATCATTGTGGTTGTATTTCACATAGTACTCTTCCATGAAAAATTAATTGGAAATAAACAAGAGGTTGAACATGGTGAAAAGTCACGTTCCTTTGCGCGTAGTGTTATTTCCATGTCACCAAATCGATATGATTCTACGAAGTATACTAAAGTCATTTCAGTTATTTGGTGGGTAACGTTTTCTCGGTCTGCTCAATAATCTCGCAATTGGTCTTCCTTGCTAGACTCATTCATTTATCAATGGAAAACTTTCATTGTGGTGTGCGAATTCTGTTTAAACAAAGAGTTGCCCTTTTTTGGCCGCTTAAAATAACCATAAGTATGTTTAAGCAGTCTCTTCCTACTTACATTACTCAGAGCTGCCATATGAGATGTTATTTAGGATGTGAAAGAAAAAAGCCATTTATGCATGCTGCGTGTGGCGAAAATACCCACTAATAACTTGCAGGGGTCTGCCGTGGGGTTTAGCTAAAGTCATAGCTAGATCACTCGGCTTTCCCAGCCTACCCTTTGAGATTATTTGTAGGATACTATTCCTAACCACTTCTCATGTACTTGTTATCTGTTGATCAACATTCTGAGACAGTATGCACACAGAGTTATAC